CCCCCCCTCCCCCCCCCCCCCCCCACCGCCGTCCCCACCGGGGATTTTGGGGGTCCCCGGGGGCTGCTCCCCACCAGGGGGGTCTTGTAAACGTCACGAGGGGGATACGCCCCCCCACCCCCCCCCCCAAAATCTCCCTTTGGGGCGCGCGCTCAGCCCCTCCCGGCGGAATCCTCAATTTGGAGGGGCCCGACCCCTCCTCTCAGAACCGAGGGGGTCCCCAGGCCCAGCTGGGGGGGGGGGGGGGCTCCAGGCCCGCTTTGGGGGTCCCCATCCATCCCACAGGCCCCGTTCCCGCAGGTCCTGGGGGTCCTCGACCCGGAGGGGAGGGGTCTGGTCCTGCCGGTCCCTTCAGGCTGCTCCTTTTCGGGGTGGCCCAGTCCAGGGGTCCCCCATCCTCGTGGGTCCTTTTAGGGGTCTCCTCGCTGGGGTCCATGGGGGGGGCCCCCCGAAGCCTCCAGCCTCATCCAGCGCGGTCCCACGCAGCATCCCGGTGCCACCGGGCTCCTCACCGGTACGGTGAGGACGGGGAGGGGGTCCCCGCCCCTCCGTGCCCAGCCAGGTACGGGGGGGAGGATCCCCCCCGGGGGTGTCCATGGGGGTCCTCACAAAGGAACCGGAGCCCCCCTCGCCGGGTCCATGAGGCGTTTCTAGAAGCCGAGCGCGGCTCCCGGGGGCAGCGGGCAGCCCGAACCCGCGTGGTCCCGCACGGAGCCCCGGAGCCGCCGCACCTGGGCTCGCAGCCCCGCCGCCGTGGCCGCCAGCGCCGCGTTCTGTGCCCGGAGCCCCCGGACGCGCTGCTCCAAACGGGCGATCCGCTCCAGCTTCCGCCGCCGGCACCGGCTCGCCGCCAGCCGGGTCCGCAGCCTCCGCCGCTCCGCCTGCAGCAGCTCCGGGGAATCCGCGCCCGGTTCCGCCGCCTCCGCCTCCGCTCCGGGGACCCCCGGGAAGGGTCCCCCCATCCCCGCCGCCGTCGTGCTCAGCGCCGGTGGCTCCGGGAGCGCCACGTTGGGCGGCCCCGGTTGGTGCAGCTCGTCCAGCGCTTGGGCGAAGCTGCCGGTGAAAGCGTCGCGCTCGCCGGGACCGGGGTAGAAGAAGCTGCCGGTACCGGCGCCGCTGCCGAAGAAGGTGCCGTCGGGGCACGGCGCCGGTTTGAGCCCGCGGAAAGGCTCCGGGGGGGAGCCCTGTTGTAGAGACCCCGGTAAGGTGCCGTAATCGGGCTCGGGGCGGCAGAAGCCGCCCGGGAAGGGCGCGGGGCGGTAGAACGGCGGCTCCATCCGCGCGGCCGCACCGGGAGCGGCGGGACTCGAACCCGCGGCCCCGCGCCGCCCGCCCGCTTTATAACCGCGCGCGGCGGAAACGCGGCGCCATTGGCTGAGGAGGGCGGGGGACACGCCCCCTGACCGAGGACACGCCCACCCAGAGCGAGGACACGCCCCCAGAGCGAGGACACGCCCCCGGCGGGAAAGGGGCGGGGCCTCGGCCTCATTTGGGGGGCGCAGGTGGGAAAAGGGGGGGGCCAGGTGAGCAAAGGGGGCCAGGTGTGAGCAAGGAGAGGGCAGGTGAGGGCAGAGGAAGGGGGCAGGTGTGCAAGGGAGGGGTTCAGGTGTGAAAAGCACAAAGGAGGGGTCACAGGTGTGCAAGAGGGGTCACAGGTGTGCAAGGGAGGGTCACAGGTGTGTCCCAGGGGTCACAGGTGTGTGCAGGGGGTCACAGGTGAGCAAGGGAGGGTCACAGGTGTATGCAGGGGGGTCACAGGTGTGCAAGAGTGGTCACAGGTGTGCAAGGGGGGATCACAGGTGTGCAAGAGGAGTCACAGGTGTGCAAGGGGGGATCACAGGTGTG